TTTCCCTTCTATTTTTACTCTTCCCTCTTTTACTTTATTTTTTCTCTGCCTCATTTCTTTCTCCTTCCCCTCTGCCTTCCTCGGGCGCTGGCCAGGCTTCCGAGGGCCAGGCTTCCGAGGGCCAGGCTTCCGAGGGCCAGGCTTCCGAGGGCCAGGCTTCCGAGGGCCAGGCTTCCGAGGGCCAGGAGGGCCAGGCTTCCGAGGGCCAGGCTTCCGAGGGCTTCCGAGGGCAGGCTTCGAGGGCCAGGCTTCGAGGGCCAGGAGGGCCAGGCTTCGAGGCCAGGCTTCCGAGGGCCAGGCTTCCGAGGGCCAGGCTTCCGAGGGCCAGGGCTTCCGCGTTGGGAACCCTAAATCACGAGGCTTTTTGGATGCAGATGGTTTCCTTCTGTCTACTCCGTCAATGTCGAGCGCGACCTTGGCGGGAATCGGGAAGGAAAAAGGAAATGTGAAGGAGACATATCGACTGACCTGTTTCATGGCAGACTTGCAGAACGGAGTGTCATGCTCGACTTTATTTATTCATCTATTCAGATTTGTGTTAAGAATCATTTCCTGGTCGATTTGCACTAAGAAACAAAATGTCCTTGCCAGTCCTTGACAAAATTGGATAGGAAAATAGTCACACGAAAGTTTCTCAAACAGTCTGACATCTCAAAACAAGTTCGGTTGAAAAGTTTTTTTTCTTTTCCCGCTCGTCGCCAAATACTTGGCACTGGATGAATGACTTAAGAATTGAGCTTCTTTCCGACTCCCGATATCGGCGCGGCTGAAAATATGCCCTTTATCGACTCCTCCTCCTCGCGTCTCCGACCTGCGGTGAATGCTGCAGAAGAAGAAAAAGAGGAAGAATATTAAGAAGAAGAAGAAGAGGACGAATATTACAAAGAAGAAGAAGAAGAAGAAGAAATGGAAAAAGAAAAAATGAAAGAAAAAGAAAAAATGAAAGAAAAAGAAAAAATGAAAGAAAAAGAAAAAATGAAAGAAAAAGAAGAAAAGATTACTTGAGAAGTAAACGCGTTTCCAAGATTGCCTGAAGATGGCGTTGCGAAGAGCCGTGAGTTGGAGGGAGACACAGCATGGAAAGAAAGACCACCCATGGTCACCACAACCATCTCATCCCGCCCACCACCGCCCACCCCTCACCCGCCCACGCGCCCATTACTATTCCTCCCCCACCCCTCTCCGACGGTCGCTGCCGCCCACGCCACACCGCACTTCCTCAATATTTCTACATGTTAATGACAGGACATAAATCTTGTACAGGAGGGAGCCGGTGAAGGAGAAGGAGGGAAGGAAGGAAGCAAGGAGGGAGGGGAGAGCGTAGGAGAGAAGGAGGGGAAGGGAAGGGATGGAGGGAGGGTGTGAAAATGGGAGGGAAGGAGAGGAGATAGGTGGAAGAAGGAAGGAAGGGACGGAAGGAGGAAGGTAGGGAGGAAGGAAGGAGGGGAGGGAGGGAGGAAGGAATGAATGTAGCAAGGGAGGAATGAGATTGGGAGGAAGGAAAGAAGGGAGGAAGGAAGGGAAGAAGGAAATCAAGGAAGGAAAGAAGGAAGGGAGGAAGGAAAGGACGAAGGAAGCAAGAAGTCTGGGAAGTAAGGATGGGGTGTGAGAAAAAAGAAAGGAAAGAAGGTAAACGGAGAAGGAGGGACGGAAGGAAGGAAAAAGGGAGAGATCTAACGTGCAAGACATATCGAACGGCGGTTTTGCATTTGAATATCCTTCAGATCGCTGTCCTTCTCCGCCGCGAAAGGACCCGAAAGGACCCGGACCTTCGCTCTTCCCGGTAGAACTCTCTGGAACTCGCTTTCTCCGGTCCCTGGAAGCGTGAGCCTGAAAAAGCCGCCCGTCCGCGTTTTGTGGGCGGGGCCTTTACTTTTCCCGAAGGTGGGGGGGGGGGGGTAAGGACGAGGGGGAGGAGAGGAGGTGGGGGCAAGGGAAGGAGAGAGGGATAGAGGGAGGTAAAAGAGGGAAGTATATAGGAAGAAGGGGAAGAGGAAGGAGGGGAGACTAAAGGGAGGGAAGACTAAAGTGTGTAAGAATAAAAGGGAGGGGTAGAGGGGGAGAAGGTAGATGTATATGTTTGCGGACATGTCTATTGGAAACGCTTATTCCCTTGAAGTTAGTAAAGTGTTTGTATACATTTATTTAACTATTCATCCCTATTCATTTGCTGATCTTCAAGTCATCACACACCCCGCGTTACATCACAAAAGCCAGCGCGCAAATGCCGGTCTTCCATACCTCTCTGCGTTCTTTTGTCTAATCCCTTTACGAGTGTGACAAACATCCTTTGTGCCTGGACCCATGCGTCTTCGAAAATTATGAGGTCTCGATTCCTGTCTTTGCAAATTTGGCGTCTAAATCCCCTCCACTGTTTTTATTGTCTTCTCCTTTGTGTCTTTGTTCCCTCCGAAGCTACATTCCAATTTCGCGTTTCCTTTGTGTGTTCTGCTACTGTATATCTAACGTGTTGGGTAAAACCCCCCCCCCCCGCGCACTT